CTTCATCTTTACTTGGTCTTTGGCCTACATAATCTTTATTTTATTACCAGTTCCTGCATCTAAGACTTTTCCATTGTATTTAGTAGTGCTAGATTGTTTTTCCTTTTTTCCACTAGGAGAGTTGGTCTTCACTCCAAGTCCATCTCAGAGCAGAAAACAGATCTTTTAGGTTTAGCACTAAGTGTGTTTCAAATCTGTAACTGTCACGCATGGGGTCTCTTCTGGGATTCCCACTGTCATCACACATGCCATCCTCAGAGAAAGGCTGTCCCCACAACAAACTTCAGGAAAGAGTAGACAAAACCCTCTTCCTCAGTTTTTGGGAAAAAGTCAGGAGTCAGAAGACATGAGCCACTTCAAATGGATATAAACCACAAACCACCTACATCAAGTTACTAAAACAATGAACTTCAGGGGCTTTACCCCCTTAGCTTCTGTAACTGTGGATTTTACTATAGTTTCCCATTGAAAGTGAAATTGTTAGTCACTCATGTCCTACTCTTTGCAACCCTATGGACTGTAGCCCCCCAGGTTGCTCTGTCCATGGAATTCTCCAGGCAAAATATTGGAGTGGGTTGCTATTTCCTCCTCCATGGGATCTTCCTGACCCAGGGATCGAACTCAGGTCTGCCACATTGCAGGCAGGTTCTTTACCATCTGAGCCACCAGATGTATCCCATTAACCAGATAGTTTCCTATTAACATTGCTGAAAGCTGACAGACAGAATTTTTACTAGTGCCAGTTATGCAAGACAAGTAAGTTCTAGAGTTCTACCATATAACATTCTGCCTAAAGGTAACAATACTGTATTGTGCAAATTATAAAAATGTCTTCCTCATAAAAGAAGGCTTTATCTCCTTAGAGCTATTTGAGCTTTTATTTTAATTACTGGAACTGCTTCTTTAATCTAAGAATATACTAGATAAAAGCTGATTTTACATTTTTTTTTTTTCTTAAAAAAAAATTTCACTAAATAGTTCAGGAGGGGAAGGGCGGGGCACGGTTACAGAAGATGCAAGCAACAGACAAACGGACTCAGAAATCTGGTCTCTGCAGACCTAGATCCCCTGGAGGAAGGCATGGCAACCCATTCCAGTATTCTTGCCTGGAGAATGCAATGGCCAGAGTAGCCTAGTGGGCTATAGTCCAGGGGATTGCAAAGTCAGACACAATTGAGCGACTAAGCACACACACACAGCACACAAACCTAGGTTAGGTGCTGTCACACCCCAAAGGCACGCTGTTGGATGTGTTTCCATTCAAGGTCACCTAGACCTCTGGGACAATACCACCTCTGGAACTTCGCTGATGCATCATAAGGTGAGTGGGGCCCCTTCCTTCCAAGGCCCCCCATTTTAGGTACTGATCTAAGGCCAAGGAGTAGCTTGCAAGATGCTAGGACACATATGCACGGGAGCATGGCCCTGTGCCCTCTTCCATCATCTCTCCCCAGGAAGTATAATCCTCTGACACTTGCAAACAAACATCCCTCAGTTGTTTTTTTTCTGGTCAGTGATCAAAGGACCAAAAAGACTCAGCTCAGGTGATCCCAAGAAACAGGCCTGTTCTCAGTCCAAGCCAGGTCCCAGTGAGATTGCCTTCATCCCTCGTTTCATAGCCAAAACCCACTGCATTCTCTATTTGGACTTGGTGGTAACTGCATGTTACCACTATGTGCTTCTTATCTTGGTTTCTCCGAAATTAATCTACAGTCTTTCACAGAACAAAAGCATACACCTTGAGAAAGGTACAGTCGTGTGTAAGTTGCAAGGGTTTCTTCTTTTTTTTTTTTTAATATATATAATTTTTATTTATAATTAAATCTCAATGATGTTAGAAAAAATAATATTCCTAAGGTATTTATCAAACGTCTTTTTCTCTTATTTACTTTCAAAATATCTGGTTATTATTGCTAGAGACACAGAAGAAATCTAGGTTCAGAGAAACTGATGTTCTTTATTACCTCTTCTGATGGCAATTTGCACCCCAGTGTTCTTGTCTTTCGACAATCATCATTATGCTATACCCTCCCACAATCCTAAAAAAAAAAAAAAAAAACCCACTGAAAGGTTGTTGTTGAACCTCTAAAAGATGCCAGGATCCTTGGCCTCCAGAGGAGAAGAATTCAATCCAGGGCCAGAGACGAGGTAATAAAGTTTTATTAAAGTATAAAGGAGATAGAGACAGCTTCTGACATAGACATCAGAAGGGGACAGAAAGAGTACCCACTTGCTAGTGTTAGCAATGGAGTTATATACTCTCCAATGAATCCAAAGGATGTCTGGAGGTTGTAAAGACCTCAACAGACCTACTCTCATAATTTACATTTTAAGATAACAGGATTAGCCAGAAGGTTTAATCCAGAGACTGTCCTCAGGCAGGATACATTATTGTTATATAAACCTAAGGAATGTAGAGGAAAAAAAAAAAAAGTTTGCCCTTTCTTCCTCCTTGAGAATTCCAGACCCCTCTCTCCTTGGGGACCCTTAGACTTCTTATCAACCTACCTAGGAAATGACTCTCTCATTCCCCCCTTTTCTTTCAGAAGAATTATGTTGCCAAGGGAAAGGGGCATCATTTTCATTCCATAACTACTTCCTGTTGTTTAAGGGTGTGGTCCCTAAATTGTTGAGGCAACATATTCTCCTAACCCTCATATTGAGGGTCTCTGATCCTGGGGCCCCAAGTAATAGTTGGAGGAGGCTGTGGCACTTGTAGGAGTTTGGACAACCTTTTGTAAAAAGCTTTTAGACAGTTCGAAAACCCCATTACATAGTTACAAATGTAAGGCAAAATAGTCATTAAACCAAGTAAAAATCAAAATGAAAAGTCACATTATGCCCATAGTTACATCAGTCGATCTTAGTGTTCTTTAGATGTCATCAGTTTAAGAAGAGGAATCACATGCAATTGTTGTCGAAGGTGTTTGCAGATTTGAAGAAAGTCTTTTCCTTGAAGTAGAGTTGTCCACCATGGGAAGCCTTTCACTGATGAAGAGGGGGGTGCTCCACAGACCCAGCAGTTAGACTGATTATGAAATACAGTGTAGGAGTGAGCCCAGGACAGGAAGGCATTGTCTTGAGGATCAAACAGCAGACTCAATTTTTGGAGTCAGCAGAAGTAGGCTCACATAGATTATCTGGCCCATCTTTTAGCTCATCCAGACAGTCCCATTACGGAAACGGATGGGGAAGAAGGTGGGCCAGGGGCTTCAGTAAGCACGTAGTAAATTGCACCAGTATCTAAAATGAAATCGACAGATTGGCCCCCCACAGCTATCAATATCCGTGGTTCCTCAGGTGTAATTAGGATGGGAGCTTGTGTGGGGACCCCCAGGCACTTTCAGTCCTGATTGTCTTGAGAGTCTGACCCCTGAAACCTACCCCTCTGGGGGCAGTCTCTCTTCCAGTGTGGTCCTTTGAAAACTGGACATGGAGCTGGGGGCGGCTTAGATGCCTGAGGGCAATCCCTCTTGAGGTGCTCCTCTTTTGCACAGTAATATCAAGCCCATCCCTTTTCACCTGGGTCCCTCTGGGCATTTTTCTCAGGCTGTTTAAGAATGGTTTTCATAGCCATTGCGAGGGCTTCTGCCTGTTCCTTTGTCTTTTCCTGCCTTTCTTTCTTTTCCTCATATTCCTTACCATAATAGACTGTCTGAGAAAGTTGTAACAGATTACCTAAAGACTGATTTGGTCCATATACCCATTTTAATAGCTTGCAAAGGGCTTCTCTCAGTCTATCTAGGAATTTACCAGGAGTTCCCTTCTCTTGTTGTATGTTTGCCAATTTACCATAGTTTAAAAGCTTAGCATGCGCCTGCCTGAGTCCTTCAAGAATACATCTGACAAAATGACTCTGATCCCATCTTCCTTTAGCTGTGTTGTAGTCCCAGTCTGGTTCTGTAATTGGGACCACCTGATTCCCAGTGGGGAGGGTGGTTATCTTGTCCTCCCTCTTCCCTACTGATTCATTACCAAACCATTCATCTCCATAAGCAACCGCTTTTCCCAAAACTCGAGTCTTTGAGTCAGGAGTCAGCGTTTGTCCCAAGATATACATCACATTCTTCCAAGTAAGGTCATAAAGCAGATTGACACCTTTAAAATCTCTGATATATTTTTCTGGGTCCTCTAAATAGTCTCCCAGATTCCCCTTGATTCTTTGTATTTCTTGATAAGAAAAAGGCTTATTAACCCTCATAGACTGATTATTTTTCCCCGTGGGTGCTTCATGAAGAGACAACAACTTGTGTGACTGTTCCACAGTCTCTTTGGTTGCTCTGCGCATATGATCCCAGGGATAGATTGGAGAAACCTGCTTTTTTTTATCTCTTGTCTCCTGTCCTCCATCTCATCTAGCAAAGTAGGAGGATAGGAGGGAGCTCAAGGAGTCACACCCAAATCTATACCCTTAGGACATAAGTCTGACATATTTTGCAGAGAGAAAAAGGGCAACACATATGCTAATTCTATCCATTTCCCTTGTTTTCTAAAAGAACTGGTCTAATTGTAAAACAGTTATTATACTTAAAAGACCCTCCAACTGGCCACCATTTGCCATCCTCTAGTGGGTACTGTGGCCATGTAGTATCACAAAGGAAGATCAGGTGTGTCTTCTTTAAGCCCTGGGGATCAAATCTATCCCAGTTTTTCAGGATATAGTTCAAAGGAGTGAGTGCTAACAAGAATTGTTAGCACCCATCTTGTCCTGAAGAATCCTGGAGGAGCCCCCAAGGTGAAAGGTTGTTGCTTAACCTCGAAAAGATGCCAGGATTCTTGGCCTGCGGAGGAGAAGAATTCAATTCGAGGCCAGAGATGAGGCTTGATTGCTCAGAACTTTTGTGTAATAAAGTTTTATTAAAGTATAAAGGAGATAGAGACAGCTTCTGACACAGACATCAGAAGGGGGTTAAAAGAGTACCCCAAGGGTTTCTTCTTAAATCCAGACAAAATGCTTCCTTTGAAGGAGAGAGGAAGGAATAAATGGCACGAGTCCATGCTTTCAGATCCATGCATCCTTTATTCCATGACCAACCACTGTGTTGCATCCAGGCAACACTACACAAACTGGCAGTCACCCGCAACCCAGCTGTACAACAATCGGAGGCTTACAGTACATTTAAGGCTTTTAAATTTGGAAAAAAAAAAAAAAGAAATGCTTTTTTAATAAAACCAAAGAACTCTCAAACCCAAACCCCCAATCAACAGAAGTAGTGTAACAATTTTAAGCATCTTACATTTCTGATGCTGTTGGTGCAACCCCAGTGTCAAAATCCAAATAACTCCTAAACTAAAAAGATTAGTTTCGTGAAATTTTAATTACATAAATTTTTCAAAGCATAAACTTGTCTTTTTTTTTTGTCTTGGAAATGTTATAAAATTTTTTTAATAGCAAAACATAGGAATAAAAACATATTAACAAAATGTATTCAATCATTTACATTACAAACAAGGAATCTGCAGTTCATTTTTGTGGCCTGACAGAAGAAAATTACTCAATAGGAATCTATGCACAATGTGATTGCAAATATGTACAGTACTTTTAAAAAAGCCTACAAGGAGGAAAGTTGGCTAGGTTCTTTGTTAGACCAACCAGACAATCAAAATATTAAAACTCTGTGGGCTAGTAGTAATAAATTTACACTTAAAAAAAAAGTTTCATTTTGTTTAAGAATATTCCAGTTATATTTATATGGTTCCAGTTGATGAAGCCATTTACCATAGTTCCAGTAAATTACCCTTTAATTGATTTGTTTGGGGGAAAAGATCAGCATGTTAATAAAAATGAACGAAGGAATTTTCATCACAATTGTTTCCAGTTAAACTATCACAGCTTCACAAATGGACTGAACCCATGAATCCAGTGGCTGAAAGAGAGCTGCAGATCAAATACTGAGAACACGGGTAGAGAGAGGTTGAGTCCTGCATTAATGCATCCTACATGATGGGTAAGGTGGAGAAAGGGGTGTGAGCAACCTTTTTTACAGAACAAGAAAGTGGTTCCCCCACTCAGCTCTCATTCCCGCCCTGCAAGGCGATGAAGCTGGAAGTCACAACTGTTCGGTTTGACATGATGTGTGAGTTGGTAGAACCTGTGGATACGAAAGACTGAGAAGTCCTTGGCTCTCTGATGAGGATACCCGAAAAGCTGCGTGCTTCCTTGTGGTGATCACGCCATGACCGCTGTCCAGGGAAAGCATGTGTAAAACGGAGGACTCGTGTTCACAGTCAATGAGGTAAGATCAAGTCGTTGTCTTCAGGAATTGGGAAGTTCGTGAGAAATGAACTGTTTTAGTCTCTCTAGGTATTGTGCGTAAAGCTCTATGTCATTATGCCCGGCCCCTTCGACCCAGAGCGGCTCCACGGCCCGGGGACAGCGCTCGTACATGGCCAGGCCGTGGGAGAAGTCGATGACCTCGTCCTCTGTGCCGTGAATGACCAACACAGGAGAGGTGACTTTGGAGATCTTGTCAATGCTTCAAGACAGGAAAGGGGGAGAAAAAAGAAGGATCACAGACTTCACACTCAATGTAACTGAGTCAGCATCCTAGGCAAGCAAGGCACGTGCCCTGGAGGAATTTCTCCTCACTTTTCTAGTAGTTCATTTTTTTAAAAAATTAACTTTGCATTTCACAATAATTCTTGATTTACAGGAAAGGTACAAAGATAACACAGTGCTCCTATCTACTCCTAACCCCCTTCCCAACAATGCACATGATCGTAGTCCGTTTGTCCAAACCAAAAAACCAGCATTGGTATGTTACTAAACTCCAGACTTTATTTGAATTTTATGAACTTTTCCACTGAAGTCCTAATTCTGTTCCAGGATCCAACTGAGAATACCACAATGCTGTTAGCCATTGTGTTTTTGTAAAAGTATTTTATTAAAAACAGAACTCCTAAATGTCATCTGACTACCCATCCAGTAAATAATATTTCTGATACATTCATATTTCAGAGAGAGGATTTTTTTAAAAAAATAAACAAGCTAGAACTTAACATACTGGGATGAATGCCTCTTGAAGGCTGGGCACTGAACACGCAGCCACTCAAGTTTTCAGGACTCTCTCTGTGTGTAAGCCATCTTCAGCACTGATTAGCAAGGTCATCAGAAGCCTCATTTCATATAAACGAAAACCTCATCCTTAAATAAAAACTGTACTGTTTAGCTTGGAAATTTAATGTATGCCCTGATTGGATCCTGAATGAATTCTGTTTACAAAAATCAAATCTACCCACCAGGGAAGTCCCAAAATTCAGTGAGCCCATGAACTTTAGCCCGCCAGGGTCCTCTAGTCCATAGAATCTTTCAGGCAAGAATACTGGAATGGGTTGCCATTTTCTATTCCAGGGGATCTTCCTGACCCAGGTATTGAACCCACGCCTCTTGCATCTCCTGAATTGGCAGGGATATTCTTTACCACTGCACCACCTGGGAAGCCCAATCTACCCAAAGAGGATGAATATTTGAGGATCTCCAAAAGAATAAACTATAGGCTCTGAAAGCATTTCCCAAAGAGGAACTGAGAAGTTAGTAAGGCTTGTTAGGATGGGTGCGTTGGTGACTTCTCTGCTGGAGGTCACTGTCATTTCCCCTACAAACACATAGAACGGTGGCCCTCTGTCCAGTTTGACCTCCTACCAGAGACCCCTTACTGCTGACTTTCTGTATCTTATCCTAGCCAAAGTTACAGAAGGATCGATTTGGTTCTACCTATAGGGGTCATTTTGTTATGTCATGACTAGCATTTATTCAGGGCTTACCTGGTGGCTCAGTAGTAAAGAATCCACCTGCCAATGCAGGAGACTTGGGTTCGATCCCTGGTTTGGGAAGATTCCCTGGGGAAGGGCATGGTAACCCACTCCAGTATTCTTACCTGGGAAATCCCATGGACAGAGGAGCCTGGTGGGCTACAATCCATGGGATCACAAAGAGTCAGACAGGCCTGAGCAACTAAACATCAACAAACATTTATTCAACATAGACCGCAACCAGGTGCTCTGCACTTGACATATGAAATGTTCATCTTCAAGGAGACACAGTTAAAGAGGAGGGACTGTCTCTGTTAAACCACGGAGGGCCTGAAACTTGGAGAAGATTATTAAAGAATAGGCATGGGGCTGTGGAGCTAGGACAGGACTCTGACATCCGTCACACATTCCAAAGAGCTACAAACAGCTGTCACGGAGCCTTGGTAACAGCTTATGAAGCTGCCAACCACCTCACAACGTCCAGGAAGAATGCAAGATCTTACTGGCCATGTCATTTGCCAAGATCAGGGCTACTGTGGCAGGAGTCAATTTGGCAGACTAGGAATCTTGTTTAGAAATCTATTATCCTCTTATATTTAATTTTTAAAGTGACTTCTTCTCAGAATGCAAAAGTCCAATTATATTCCATTAAAAATCTATTTGCTGACAGTTCCACGCTGCATGATTTAGGGGGCTCTCTACAGCCTGGAGGGTGTATTTGAAGTTAAATGCCACCATCTTGATTCTAAATATAAAGGAGGTAAGAGAGAATAAGGGCTTCCCTGGTGGCTTAGACAGTAAAGAATCTGCCTGTAATGCAGGAGACTCAGGTTTGATCCATGGATCGGGAAGATCCCCTGGAGAAGGGACTGGCAACCCACTCCAGTATTCTTGTATAGAAAACCCCAAGGACAGAGGAGCCTGGTGGGCTACAAACAGTCCATGGAGTTGCAAAGAGTCAGACACAACTGAGCAACTAACACTTTCACTTTTTTGCAAGAGAGAATAAACCACCAACCAAGCAATGATTAGGATTACTTATCTCTCTCTCTCTATATATATATATTATATAAGTTATAAATATATGCATATTTGGCCGAGTTGTATGGTATGTGTGATCCTATAACAGTTCCCCGACCAGCGATTGAAGCTTGGAGTCTCTAACCACTGGACCACCAGGCAAGTCCCTTATCTCTATTCTTCGGTATTAAGAAAGAAATGGGAAAGTGCCTTCCTTTCAAGAGAGGGACAGAGAAACAAGTGTGCATTTGGTAGCAACAAACACCCTAAGGAAACATTCCTCAAGTTCAACTAGTGATGACAGTTCATGTGACTACTAATGGTTTGAAGTCTCTCATTTTAATACTTTATGGTACTGAACAGGAAGAATGGCCTTTTCTGCCTATTTCCACTCACCCACCTTAATGAAGCTGCTTAAACCACTTAACTTTCTCAGCCTCAGTTTCCTCACTGTAAAACGAGTCTTTCAAGACAAGGAGCATGAAATGATTAGCCCATGCCTGGCAGATCACTCAAACCCAGTAAGAGGAGCATGCTGGTTTCCTATTAATTAATAAGCTGCAATTAGTTGTTGTGGTTGTATTTTAAGGTATCTACTAATTTAAGAGTCAGGGGGAAACCTATTTGTTTTGTTGCCAGGGTAACCCCTTGCATGGCTTTCCACAAACACGCTAAATATCTCCCTTTCAATAAACGGGCCTCTCATTACCCATTCAGCACAAATAAGGCCACATTTGAGATGCACAGGGTTCCTGCTTAGCATTCTCAGCCATGCCACTGGAAATTTGCAGCTTGCTTAACTTTCCCATGAAGCTGAACCTCATACAGGCTGCACAGAGTTCACCCAAGGTGTGGAGAAAGTTTCTTCTTGGGAAACAAGCCCATCTGTGGAACAGATGTTTATGCAACCAAATGATCCTCCCCTCACCCTCATTCCCAATAATAACAGAATGACAGCAATGAAGGTGTTGATCAAAATCCAAAAACTGTACATACTTCTGTTGAGGTTTTCTATAACAAGGCCATGGGTGTCCTGCTGTCAGAATTTTGGATGTACCCTGGGCAAATAATCTTTATTAAATACTTTCCTTAGCTTGTGCTTAGTTGCTCAGTCATGTCTGACTCTTTGCGACCCCATGAACTGTAGCCCGCCAGGATCCTCTGTCCATGCGGATTCTCCAGGCAAGAATCATGGAGTGGGAAGCCATGCCCTCCTCCAGGGAATCTTCCCAACCCAGGGATTGAACCCAGGTCTCCTACATTGCAGGTGGATTCTTTACCATCTGAGTCACCAGTGAAGCCCTTCCTCAGCTTAGATTTTTTTTTTTTAAAAAGCACTGGTTTCCAAAGAGAGGTGTTCAAGAAGGCAATGTGCCCACTGCTTTCGCTTGTATAATACAGCTACCCGTTGACTGGAAAACAGCAGGGGCCAGGCTGGCAGGAGCTCTGCTGCCCCTGGGGTGCTGGCAGGAGGGGTCTGGCCGTGGGCTCTCATGCAGGGGAGGGGGGCTTCAGGCACAGGTGGGCAGCAGGAGGTGTCTAGGGCTGTGTGGAGGACTCACACTGTCCCTGACGCCCATCATTGGCATAGCTTACCTCACTTTTTCTCTTACCTAGTGGTCTGACCAAAAACATAAGAGAAATTTCAAACTTGGGGATGCTTACAGTTTTTATATGAGTATTTGTTGTTATTTGGCCGCTAAGTCGTGTCTGACTCTTTTGCAACCCCACGGACTGTAGCCCCACCAGGCTCCTCTGTCCATGGAACTTTCCAGGCAAGGATACTGGAAAGGATTGCTATTTCCTTCTCCAGGGAATCTTCTCAACCCAGGGATGGAAGCCTGAGCTATCAGGGAAGACCTATGTGAGTATCTAGACCTCTGATTTAGTTCTTGTGACTCAACAACACATGTCCATCTGAGTGAACAAATGAACACTGTACTAGAAGTTCCTTTAAGACATGTGTGCACTTGTTTTTTGTTTTTTTGAATCCTGTACATCCAGCTGAACCAATTAATTCTGGATGTTGGGACAAGCAAGGTCCTTAAACATCTTCTGGCAGGTTTTTTTTTTTTATACAAATGAGTCTGGCCCAGAGGACTAGGTCCTTGGTGCATGTGCCACGTCCACCTCCCGTCCCGAGGAGCCCAGCACAGGGGCTGATGGCTGGCTGCATTCAGGAGAGGTTTACCCACAATTAACCGCGGCTTCTGATCTGAAGTTGGGTCACTGGACGTCTTAGTACTTCCTTACTGTACAGCAGTGAGCTTACCTGGGGAAGGCGTCAAAGCAGTACGTTTTCCTGGTGTCGGGAAAAGCCACACGCAATCCAGACATCAGTGGCGAATGGAGAATCACAGCAGCACACTCATACCTGGAGGCCAGGTCTACCGTGGGGACCGTCCCAATGCTCTGACCATACAGGATGATGTTCTCGGGACTTACGCCATACCTGGAGAAGCCAGAGGGCACGGGCCATTAGCTGACATGTGGCAGAGAGAGCGAGGAAGCCAAACACCAGTGTCATAAACTCACAAAACTCCTACAACTAGGACTTTCCTGGTGGTCCAGTGGCTAAGACTTCACACTCCCACTGCAGGGGGCCTGGGTTCAAACTAGATCCCGCATGCTGCAACTAAGACCTGGTGCAGCTAAAAACAAAAAAACAGTTTCTGTGTGGCCCCAGGCCTTCGAACTTGACACCATCTAATACAACTGTGCTTGTAGAAGAGGGTCCCAGGAAGCAAGACGTGTCTGGCGTTCCTGCCTGGGATTCATTTCAGTTGGAAGAACGAGTGATTAAAAAAAGGGTCAGCAGGACTTCCCTAGTCGTCCAGGGGTTAAGAACCTGCCTTCTAATGCAGGGGACGCATGTTCAATTCCTAGTCGGGGAGCTAAGATCCCACATGCCAAGGAGGGACTAAGCCCCGTGCTGCAAAGACTAAGCCTGGTCACTGCAAGGAAGAACACACATGCCGCATCCAAGACCTGATGCAGCGAAATAAATACGTCTTTTTATAAGAAGAGTCAGCAGAAAGAGTTTTGATGGATGGTTTTGAGGAAGGAACTCATGGCTCCAAGATTTCTTGCCTTAAATCCACAAATTTAAAAAACAAATCCCTTCAATGAGGATGAAATCTTGACAGGTGTCAGGAAGGGACTCTGTTATCATTCATCAGCAGACCATCCACCAGGGAGATGCTATGGACTGAAGGGAAGTTATCCTGGGGAGGACCTCCCTCCACTGGAACCACTGCTGAGTTCCTTCTCTGATGGACTGGGAGGTCCATTTCTGTAGGATTTAACTGAGTTCAAAGTCCCTTGGAGGGGAAATATACTTAAGATTAGGGGTCGTCTTCTCCCTCCACAATTTTCATTAAGGTAGGCTCTGACACCCCAAAGCATGAAGGCCAATGGATGCTGCATGGGGTGGATTGCAGGGTGTCAGAAGGCTCCTGGAAAGAAGAACACCTGCAACCCCCACATTTGAAGTGTAGGCTCCTTCTACAATGGCCAGCTCTGGGGCAGGATATTTTGCTATCAATTAAAAAACAACTAAATAATAAACAACAATAAGAGGAAGAAGAAAATAAAAACTGAATGTAGTTATTGAAGGGGAGAGGAGTAAGAGATGGTTAATATTAAAAGTTAAAAGTAAAAGAGGAATTCCCTGGCAGTCCAGACTCTGAGCTTTCACTGCAGACGGCATGGGTTCGATCCCTGGTCAGAGAACTAGATCCCATATGCCATGTGGTGTGGCCAAAAGTAAAAAAATAAAGTAAAAGACTTCCAGATTAAAATGGCATCAGACTAACCCTTACCTTCTCTGATCAGATCTGCAGAATGATAACTATACAGGATAACCTATCAATAGTAGTGAGTGTTACTCTTAGAGTCAAAACTTGTTTTCTCAGTAACCTGACATTGTTTTACACCGTGTTTCATGGGCCTTGAGGGCTACACTGAATGAACGAAGGAGCACTGGGCACAGACTCAAAGAGCAGAGGTGGGTGTGCAGTTACCCGAACAGCCTTTTCTTGCGTGTCCTGACTCTGTCCATTCCCCAAGATCATGACCTCCTTGAAATGTCTTTATAAAGCAGCCCGAACTTTTCACTGAAGGATGCTCAGCTTTCAGAATTTCTACTCACGGGCATCAGGACACACCTGGCACCAACCTCAACAAATACTGCTTCTGACACATAGACACCCACAGCCTTAACAACAAACACTTTACAACTCAGCGTTTTCACTGGGAAACCTCACTATGCGAAAACACTAGCCATTAACAGTGGGAAATACAACTTGCATTACATTAGATAAAGGACTCTGGGATTTCCATGGTGGTCTGTGGCCAAGATTCCGTGCTCCCTATGCAGGGGGCCTGGGTTTGATCCCTGGTCAGGGAACTGGATCTCACATGCTGAAACTAAGAGTTCATATGCCCCAACTTAAGATCCCCTGTGCCGCAACTAAGACCCTGTGCAGCCAAAGAAAGAGAGAGAGAACTTCTGGTCCTCAGAAGGCATCATTAAGAAAGTAAAAAGGCAAGTGGGAAAAATTATTTGCCACACACAGAAACAGCAAAGGGCTCACAACTAAAACAAAGAACACATCAATGGGGAAAAAAATGATCAAGTACAGAAAAACAGCACTCTACAAGATGATTATTTCATAACAGAAGACATCTAAATGGAAGAGAGGGGAGGAAGGAAGGCAGGGAGGGTAATTCAACTTCATTAGTAAAAACGAAATGAGATTTCACAAACGAAAACCACAGTGTGACACTAACAAAAATTTAAATGCTGACAATACCAAGTGTTGACAAAAATGTGACCACAGGAACTTTCATTCTTTCCTGATAGGGATATAAGAGGATAGATAGAAGCACTTTGCAAAAAGGAAAAACTAAAGATATAATAATGACACATTCCCAGGGACCTAGCAATTCCTCCCCCAGATATATTCACCATGGATTAGAAATATCTTCTGGACTATTTGTGGGTGGTTGGAGACAGCCCCAAGGGGTGTCACAGAGCATCACAGGACAACACTGATGAATGGTAAAGACATCCTGTTCAGAATGAATGAGATACAATCAGAATGAGCAGATACACAGAACACACCGTGTGCAAAAAACTTAAACCCACCCAAATTAAACTTCACTGCTTGGACTCTTGTTGACTATGAGGGCTACTCCATTTCTTCTAAGGGGTTCTTGCCCACAGGAGGAGATATAATAGTCATCTGAATTAAATTCTCCCATCCCTGTCCATTTTAATTCACTGATGCCTAAACTGTCGATATTCACTCTTGCCATCTCCTGTTTGACTATGTCCAATTTCCTTGACTCATGGACCTAACAATCCAGGTTCCTATACAATACTGTTCTTGACAGCACTGGGCTTTACTTTCACCACCAGATACATCCACAACTGAGGCATCAGTTCCACTTTGGCCCAGCCACTTCATTCTTTCTGGAGCTAATAGTAGTCGTCCTCCGTTTTCCCCAGTAGCACATTGGACACCTTGGACCCAAGAGGCTCGTATTCCAGTGTCGTATCTTTTTGCCTTTTCATACTGTCACAGTGTTCTCGTGGCAAGAATACCGCAGATGGCTGCCATTTCCTCCTTGAGTGAAGCACCTTTTGTCAGAACCCTCCACTGTGACTGGTCCATCCTGGGTGGCCCTGTGTGGCTCACAGCTTCATTGAGTTACAAAAGCCCCTTTGCCACAGCAAGGCTGTGATCCATGAAGGGGTGCTCGAGTGAACGTTGCTTGGTCATGTCCGACTCTTTGCTGCCCCATGGACTGTCGCCCACTAGGCTCCTCTATCCATGGGATTCTCCAGGCAAGAATATTGGAGTGGGCTGCCATTTCCTCCTCTAGGGCATCTTCCCGGCCTGCACTGCAGGCAGATTCTTGACCATCTGAGCCATCAGGGAAGCCCCAAAGGGGTTCTTAGGGATACTTAATTGAAAGAAAAGCAAAGAAGTGAAGCCCCAAAAAACCAGGGTAGTGGTTAAGGACAGGAGGAGGGGGGAAATAGATTATGGCTGGGAAGAAGCATGTTGTTTAGGGGAGGCTTATGGATCGCTGGATATAGTCTGTATCTCTTTTTTTTTGGCTGAGCTGCACATCATGTGGGATCCTAGTTTCTCAACCAAGGATCTAACCAGGGCCCCCTGCATTGGGAGCATAAAGTTTTGACCACTGGACTGCCAAAGAAGTCCCTATTAGTCTATGTCTTGTCACAACTGTTCCTTTTACAGTTCATTAAGCAGAACATTTACAATCTTATGAACATTACTGGCTACCACTCTATTATATTTCACAACAGTAAATATTTTTTAAAAGCTCACCAGATATTTCAGTTATGGAGACAGCCCTCCTGGAAACTGTTATGAATCATGATAGATTTTGTGCTAAACACAAACCTTCTATGGAAACAAGAGGCCATTAGAAATTACATCTCATCAAGAGCTAATGTGGGGAAAACCCATGTTCAAATGTTCCATAAAAAGCAGCCAACAAAACACAGGGTCACAGTTACACTCCTTCAAACAACATCTATATGGAAAAGGGACTTGAAAGTAATCTATTAAAATGATAATAATGGTTATTTTCAGGTAGTGAGAACCAGGTAATGTTTCTTCTTTCAAATATTCATTATTCCTATAATTATTAGGTAGTGATTTGTTAAAATGGATAAATTAAGGAAGCTCAATTGCTATACCGTTTTGCATGGAGTCAGCAAGCGTTCTTTACAGTGTCTGTATTTGAAAAGGCCTTGAAAATTAAAGTGCTAGTGAAATGTTCAGATTTGTTAGTATTACATTACAGACTTTTCCGTTTATTATACTGTCTGACAACGCATGAGAAGCTTGGGAGGTACGGATGGGGTTCGGGGGCGGCTAATTCTTTGAAGGTATGGAAGGTTTTCAGGAAAACTCTAAGAGGTTTCTGGTCAAACATCCGCCTCTTACAGATAAGGAGACTGAAGTGGGTCCTTTTCATGGTACCACTAAGATGTTGTTTTTATAAAAAAAAAGGTAGACGATTGATGACCTCTATACCAATGGTACCAAAATAAGAAGTATCTGAATGTCTTGGGAATCTTAAAGAATGTAAATTCCTTTAGAAATCTTCCATATTTAAAAACTCCAGTGGGTTTGCTGATTCCTCAAACTAACCATTGTTTGGCACTGAGTAAAAAGTGTCAAACCAGATTCTAAAGTGCTTTTAGCTCTCAAATTCAATTAAAAGATGAAGGATAAAAAGAGAGATGGTAAATGGAATCTGTTACTAAGTCTGGGTGAAATTCAGGGCATTTGAAGATCACAGCTCTTAGGATTAAGTTATATATATATATATATTCCCCCCCCCCAAAAAAAACATCAACAATCCCCAAGTCCAAAGCCTTTATCCTAAAGTAAAACAGATGTTAAGCTC